GACAGAACACAACGAAGAAAAGACGAGTCTATCAGTTTGTCCACAAGGTAACTTTATGGTTCACGGCTCTTCCTGTGCGGCTACGACCCGCTCAGACTCAAGTTTTTTTTTCTTTCTAGTATCCATGAGATATATCATTCAGTCCTTTGTTTTAGTATGACGTGCAATGTATTCAAACATTATACAAAACGGTGCCAGCGTGTATCCAAATTGGCGTGAAAAGAATTTTAGACGTTATGACGACAGAGGTTAAGAAGTGGACACAGTATCGAATTTTCACGGAGGCCTTGATCAGTCATCGAAATGGGGGCTGGAAAGGAAAAAATTAATATGGGTTCCTATATATTTATATATTTTTTGAATGTAGCAAGTGATTATAAACCTCTAAAGGCCGATCATTGAGACGTATGAGACTAAAAGTACTCCTAAAGCAATACAAAAAAGCTGTGAGCTAAAAAACAGCGAAATGCCAGAGAAAAGACTCAGGTGGGACGGGTGGGACATCAGCATCGGCTGGTATGTTGTAAAGAGAGTATGATCGCCATTAGGTATTACAAATGTCCCTCGACTCCTCAGTACCCGCTGTTGACCTTTCATTTAATATAGCAAAACTCTAGTATTTATATCCACAAGTGATTAAAATGACAATGTTCAAAATAGACTTGATATCGTATGAGAGATGGGACACTCCACAAGGTTTTCAACGACTTCTCTTTTTCTTCGAATTATACCATATGAGGTGTTTGATAAATCGGAGACGGGGCCTGGTGTGTTACACGCTCCGGGCTTTAGCCCTGGCCGAGGCATTGTGCCGGGCTCTGGGAAAAGATACCTCCTTTTAACGGTGGTATGAATGGGTTCCACGGTGAGTTCTTGGGAAAGCCTGAAAAAATGCCAAAGGACAAGGTGGGGGGCTCCGTGCGCTGAATCAGGACCGGTTATTGAACTTAAAAACGCTAAACTCCACCCTCCGCCTCCTAGTATGTATGAAAAGAATCGTTAAGCAGGAGTAGGTAAAACATTAAGTTGTAGCTATGGTTGTTTTGGCCAAGTAAACAGACTGAATGCTGTTACGTGGATTTCAGCTGGTGTCAATCCTGTTCTACCGCAGGTAAGTCACGTTCAACAGATTAGTTCACCAAACACTTGAATTTTTTTCTGTGGCATCCTTGGTGCACGTGTATGAAAGAACATCAGGATTTCTTTTGGTGCCCTGCGATTCTTCCTTTTCGTTACCACACTTATCCAATGGATCTATAATGACGTCAATTGTAACATTCTTTATCTCAATTTTTCTCAGCTTTCTTTTTCTCAGCGTATATGAAATGTTTTGTATTGCATCTTAATCCATTTTAAATAATTAAAGCTTATGATCTAACAAAACCAATAATGTTAGGCTTCGCTGTTCCATTTTATTGAACTTTCTACCTGTCATTATCAGCCACAAAGCAAAAATAATTGCTTTGGTTAAGGAAACAAAAGAAGGCTTTTCAAGATGAAAAGTTCCGCACGCCTTTGAAAGTAATAAACTTGACAATAGCTACCCAAGTTAAATTAGTATTCATCGTCGATTCATAACAGTTTTGCAATTAAGATCGTCCCATCTCAGTCGTTCTGTTTTCTTAGAGACGTGCTGGTACAATTATTTTAATGTTATTTTTGGTCTAGTTTTAAGCAAAAGATTACGTGTTTGAGGAGATTAGACAGGAATTAGCGGCAACTAATCCTCAGGGGCTTTTATTTCATCAACGAACTGTAATTACCTGCCATTTTCCAAAAACTACAACAACTCAAGTTAATAGAAAATACCGTCTTGATTTTGGTCCGAACATCAGAGGGGCATTGTTTCTCTTTGTGTCAGCAGAGTTCTCAGTCACAAGGAAATAACTTACTTGTCAAACCTTCACTACTCAAGCGGCTTGTATAACAGACTTGTTCCATCTATTGTCGAATTTCTTAGTGTTGTTGCAAGTTGCCTCCACTTGACTATTAGTATTCAAGATGTGGCGACAGGAAGACACAGAAGAAGGTAATCACCAACTTCTAACATTAGTTCATGGAGTGGACCGTAAAAGAAGACCTGTAATCAAAGCATATATTGGAAACTCTAAGCATCCTGTATATCAAGAGTATCAACACGCCATTGATAAACACTGTCAAAAGGCTGCGAGGCTCGCTGCTTCCTCCAGAGCCACTTTTTCGCCACATGGGGCTAACAACAGTCGTTTTTATTATTATTCAGAGAGTTGTAGTGAATCCTCACCGTGCGCTCGCGTTCTTACTCGGAATACCTTGAATGTTACCGGCGCTAGATCAAGGCCCATGATACCTGACTTACGAGACATGCGTTTTATGAGTTCCAGACTGCGATGTTCGTTAATGTTACACTCGTGTTTAGGAGAAACGGGGAAAGAACGTGACTTTCCACCACGTATTCCCATTCGGGTCAAGAAACAGCCCCCTTCAGACTGTCCAAAGAAAGGGACACCTCCTTCGAAACAAAACTCTGCGGGGGAGACGATTAAAGATAAAAATGTAACACAACCTGCTTCCTCAGAGGCTAAAAAGAAAGGTTATTGCAAGGGTTGCAAAGCTTAGTGGATTTATTCCAAGACGAAAAAGAAAACAAATCAAGACAAAAAGAGGTATATAGTGAGAAAAAGAACAGTGATGGAACTTTAACCATGAGTGTTGGACGTTGCAATGCAGCGTCGATGTAGATGAATTCATGCCCGCTAAGTGACACAAGCAAACCAATATCATGAACCTTCGTGTTCGCTACTATCCTCAACTGTTATCAGTTTGCTTTATTAGAAATACGAGCCATTTAGTAGAGATATTTAGGCTTAAGTGGTCTTTTAATGAGGAAATATCACCGAACTAAGATATATTTTCTTAGTACTCTACAAAACTATGGCAATCACTTCGGCAGTCGGCATCTGACACAAGTGAATGGCCTCATTTGATAGAATATACTCTATGTCTTTTCTAAAATAAACAATAATCAACAAACATCCACAAAAGGTAGTTTTAAGTAGACGGTGCGATTCTTTTGTCTCTTGTAAAGAGGCCAAGATCAAGTTTAGGAAAGATAGAGAACCTGGAGTTGTTAAGATGATTAAATGAAAAACCTAACTTTCATTTGCTTTCCGTTGAACTCTATTAAAGAATGCATGTTTCAAAGTACTCTGCTAATTAACGACGCGGGAAAAGCAAACAGTCTATAAGTGTTAATGAAACTGCCTCGTTTAGAAGCTCTAATATCACTTGTCAATTCAAGTTATAAAGAAGAGCTAGAGGACATTTCTAAGCCATAAGACCTCTCATATCTCTTGACCAACAATTTTCCCGACAACGAGCGTAAAACATGAAGCTGTAAAATCAACTTTTACAACTCCAATGTGATGGCAAAGCATACTTTCATTTTCCGGTTGACTGTCATTCTGAGATCCAATCCTAATCTTATCACTTATTCTTTCATGTTTGATCACAGAGGTCATGATAGCCGTTTAACATAACAATGACCACGGCTATTCCAGACGAAGGGAATAAACAGATAAATTGCACCTCAGCCTTAGGTGAAGAAATTACAGATCAGACAGGTAATGTAAGGAAATTGCACTTCATTTTATCTTGCTACAAACTAAGAGATTTTGTCTCAAAAACGTTATCCTTTGATACTACAGCTCGTTCCATTCTATACAGATTATGCTTGGAAAGAAATAATTTTCAAAGAAGCTTAGCGAGAAATTGGAACATCAAATAATTTGAAGACGAGCTCGAACTTCACGTCGGTTGATCTGGAAAATGAGAGAGGCTCGATAAGTATAGGGTACTTTACATTTTTGTCGTTTGTTCATCCATATTTTTAAGAATGTCAGGTGCACCGTTGTTCGACCAAGTTACGAAAAAGTACATAACTTCAAATCGCGTTTACTGACGCTCAGCGAAATATGTTTATAACTATTAATAATTAAAGGCTTTTAAACGCTTAACTTAGTCATCTGCACCTTAGAAAGTACATCACAGAAACTGAGATTTCTTTTATTTAGCTTTATATTTCTCTTTCGCTCTTGAACGAAACTTTTCGCAATATAGTTATTTTTCTGATTAAAATATTTTAATAAAAGAGTAAACTCACACTCAGAAGTGAGAATATTCCTCAATCATATCAATGTACATGAGTTTAAAATTCTATGGGCCATATCCCTGGGCTACAAGCTATTACTAAGGCGTTTTCATAAACCTTTTATCTACTTTGCCAATAACAACATAAAAGTTGCCCTTAGTTAAAAAGTCCAATATATGAAATATTCCTAAGTCACTATTAAATAATAAAAAAAATAGCATCATGAAAGGCAGACACCCTTATAGTTATTGTTCCAGGTGAAGCCGTTACGTCTGAATGTTGAGTGACCCTCTCCATGTTTTTCATCGTGCGGAATTTCTCTGGCTTAGAATTCAAAGTGATGTTGCCAAGTAGTTATTTATCACTCTTATAATTAGAAATATTGAAGTTTCAGTTCATTTATCGGTATTGTTAAGTGTCAAATCATCTATCGACACAGCAATACAATCAAGCTATTACCATGCAATGATAGAAAAGTGTCGAAGAGGGAATTAGGATTAACTGAGAGGTCATTCTCAACATATTGATTTTTCAAATATTTGACATGCTACCTAACAACATTTTGCATGATCAACTGAATTTCGATGTGATGATAGTGGTCGTGTTTGTTGAGTCATGTTTTCACTATGAGGGTTTATCTTTTCGTGTTCAGCAAAAGAACCAGTCCTATATTGTCACAATGCCTCAGCGTTAAAGGTTTGGGTATGCATAGTTCATGAAAACCTAACGTTTGCGAAGGCGTTACCTTGCTGTAGCTGCAGGACTGCTTTCTCCTTTTTTCCTTTAAGCCTAAAAATAAATCTCTGGTCTTCACCTTACACGTTACTAGCCATATAAAAATTCATGCCTATACCCTCTTATAAAACCTCTTATAAAACACCACCACCAAACTCAGTCTTCTGGTTTTCCTTAATTATCCCGAGAAAGGATGTAGTGAAAATGCTTGCAAGACTTTTCCACTGTTGGTGCGTTGGATTCTTCTACTCATGGTGGGGAGGTGGTTCTGAATTGTTATCATCTCGAACTAGAGGACTGGGTCTTGCTTACGTTCAAATCATACACTTGGGTCCGGGAACATTGTCTAGTGAAAGCACCCAGAACTTTTCGTCCAGTTGCAGAGAACGCTTCACGGAAGTTCTGCATTCTTGAACCATATATAGAGAAGTTAATGGCAGAGTTTGAAAGAGCCAAGGTCCTGATCCACATATAGGCAACTCCGTGCTTCTTGATCAAAAGGCGTCCTGTTGCATAAAGCACTACGACGAACGGAAGCCAGCATGCTGTGAAAACAAGAATTACGATCCCAAGGGTGGAGGCCACTCGGATTTCAACGTGAGTCTGATGACTAGTATTACTATTTCGGCGCATTTCAAGTTGCTTTTCTTGTCTTTTATGTCTGACGAGGGAAATCACGATAAGTGAGTAAGACAAGAAAATAATTCCGTAACTGATTGCAAACATCAACAAAGCAAAAATATCTTTTGGAAAGGTTGGTGGAACAACGGCGCTTAAGATGGGAACTGAGATTGGATATGCCCAACACGTTATCAACATTGCTTTTAATCCGCAGGTATCTGACATGGCTCTGTGGTGCAGGGGAAACACAACTGCGATGAAACGATCGATGCTGATTGCCGCCATATGTAGTACAGAAGCAGAGCACGAAAGCATAGATAAAATCACGTATGGGAGTTCCAAGTCTAGTGCACAGTCGTTGAAAAACGTCCTTTTAGTGAAGATTGCCACAACAAGGGGCTCGCACGCCATGGTGACGATCAAATCAGCGATGGCCAAACTGAACAGAAGGTAGTTGGATGGTCGGCGTAAGCGAGGATATATGACAACTGCCAAGCACACCAGTAGGTTACCAAGTGTTCCAAACAACCCCACGAAAGCATTTGTGGAAATAAGAGCGATGCCATGAGCTACAGGGAGAGAACAATCTTCTACTGAGATGTTGGCGGATAAGGTGGTGCTGTCGTTCAAAGAATCATTCATTGTTGAGACCAACGACTCAAAGCTCACAAAAGATGACAAATGGTGTTGGCACTTGCCTAAAGTAAAATGATATAAATGACAGGTAGAGAAGCAGACAGTAAGCTTTATCAGCGCAATAAAATGGCGATTAATCCTACTTTATTCTAATACTGTTATAAAAGTAAGTAATTCCATAATCAGTAACCAATATAATTCGGCTTTAATCATTTATATGCTTTTTAGAAAATATTGCAGGAAGTACAAAACATGACAGCTTGCCATTTCGACTCTTAAAAGTTTGGATGGAAGCCAGTTTCAGTTGAAAAGGAGCAACTTTGTGAGCTGTGATTTTTATTACATAACTCGTTCCCCCCGAGAACTCCATATTTTCGTTTAATGCAATCGTATTCTGACGTATTCTGATACTCGGCACAGAAAGCAATTTGTGATAACATCAATTTCCTCGAGACACCGGAAAATGATATTTATCTTTCAACATATTCAAGTTTGTGCATGAAAATTAGTGCTTTTTGAAGTAATATAGTATTGTTGCATTTGAAGTAAATTGACCTCTGCTTTAACTACGAGTCAGCACAAACCAAGCTTTGAGTTGAGTGCCCGTCTGCTTTAGAGATAAAGTGGTGAGAGACCATCACGTGTGGGAGGGGGGGTTGAAATGTCAATACTCAATTGACTTGAAGTTAGTCAAATCCAAATATGGCACGAGTGAAGCTTAAGACTGACTCAAGACACGCAAGAATATATTTAACCTAAACTAACTTAATAATAAAAAACATTATGATATAAACACAAACACAAATTAAAGTTAAAGTTACTGAGCATGCCGTGCAAATTTCAAAACTGCTGACCTCGTGATGATGTACTGATTTATCTAAATCAGAAAGTACGTGCATGAATCTCATAAGGCTGAAACTATCTATCAATGACTTCCCAGTTGCTCGTCAAAAACAGATATTAGATCGTCGGATGCAAGCGACGCAAATTGTGGTTAAACATGAAAAAATTTAAAGTGCCGGAGTGGGGATTTTAAGTATTGATAGAACTATAGAGAAAATGAAGCATACAAAATTAGTTACCTGGTCGAATAATATACAAAAGATGCACGAAGGGGCGGAAAAAAGACGGAGAGAACAATTGGAAATAACGAGTGGAGAAAAGCTACGAGAAGACGGAAAATTAATGTGAAATGTGAGATATTTATCGAATGAACTAGGACACAACAAATGAAATAAGTATCGCGTAAATGAACGCGCTTCGAATGAAACAATCACTGATACCGGACTGCACTGGCAAACTTGAATAATAAATTACATTAACAGAAAAAAAAAATAAATCAGGTGAACGTACGAGAGAACGATTGAATGAATGAATGAAGGGACGAGGGTCAAATATGAATAGGTATCAAAGAGTGATTTTTCATATGCTGTATATAAATAAATCAACTGAATTTTGTTTTATATGAATTTAGATTTTTGACACCCTAATAGCACCCCGCTCATTTACATTTATTTTTTCTGATAAATATGCTTTGAAACCCCCACAAAATAAAGAATCAAAGATTATTCCAAAGAAACTTGAACCAGCATTTAAAATCGACAACTCATGCTTTAGGAGGCCAATTTCACAGCCATCTCGCACTTATGCCTCTCTCTTGCAAAGCTAATTTGAAACAATATTTTATATTCAATTCCTTGTATAATTTTAGCCATGCCTTTCGTCACTGAACTGACGCGAACGAGAATCAAAGCTTGATAAAAATCCTTTCTACTGTGTAATATTTTTAAATATTCGAGATTCATGTGGATCGAGAAGGATGTGACAGTCTTCGGTCCATTGAGTTGATAACATCTTCCGGACAATCTACTGGGAAATTAGGTAATTAACTTCCGTTCGAAGAACGGGAATACAACTTTGCAAAACTCTTTGTAGAAAACTTTCTTTCTTACAATCTTTTTTTTAGTAGTTGACCCTGTTAAGAGAACTTTCAAAATTAAAAATCGTCACGCTGTAATTTAGTGCCACCTGCAACGTTCCATGGTTCTTTCTGAAACATTTGGTCTCACTCCCAGCGTCAGTCAATAGCATGCTGCACCGAAAACATTTCAGGGTCAGAACATGCCCACAAATCTTTCGCTCTATTGTAGAAATCCCTAGCGAAAGTTCTGCATCCTTGATTTCGCAATGAGGAAATTTATGGTTCACAATTTGACGAAGCCGTAGTCAATGGAAGTCTTAGATATTACTTGAACAGTTTTCCGGAACCAACTGTGACCAAAAGACATTAAATACAAAAAGGCATTTAAAACAATTATTGTAATCGCAAGTGCCGGAGGGCCATGTAGATTTTGAAAGAGACTTGCAGGTGTATAATTACCTCGTGAAGCGCGAATTCCAAGTTTGCTTTGTGCCTTCCGATCTTAAAAGTCACTGTCAAAGAACAGGATGAGAAAGTTCTAACATGCAAGAGCCCAAAAACTGCCGGTCCAACGAAATGAGTTTCGCAACCATTCAAAGGTTTGGATCAAGGTATTTTTATAGCTTTGTGTGTAAACAACAACAAAATAAAAATCAATGCTGATAACGTAATGCACAGAGGCTAAAAACGAAATGATATTTATACTTCAGAATGGGAGTTACAGTTACCAAATGAAAGTTGATTTTTATTAGGATTGCAACTAGAGGAGGTTTGCATACCCTACTGGCGAGCAAGTCAGCAATCGGTATGCTGTGAAGAAGATAGGTGGTTCAAGGGTCGACGAACACAAAGGTTTGTATGAACTGCGACGCAATCCAGTAAGTTATCGAGAATGACAAAAAATTCCAACACCATAGCATTGATAGAGATCAGGGCAATACTATATGATAAAATGGGTGACAATCATTTTCTTATCTTATAGTTTCTCATTACAGACTGTATGTCTAACATCCGGCCTCACGATACGGAAACATTTTCTTTAATTTACGTCACATGTTTATTTTTAATCTCTTAAACAGTTCAGTAAATGAGTTGCCTGCATAAAAAAAAACATAGCCATTGTTCATCAGCTTATTCCAAAGAACGTAATGTTGACACTTCCTGAGTTAACTTTGAAGAGGACCCATGAAAGCATGAATAAAACCAGAACGAGTTTCATAAAAACGAGCTCGAGAGATCTCGTCAAAAAAAGACAATTCCGTAGGTATCCTTGACATCTATGAGTGGCTTGCATATTTAACTCCACAAAAATAGTAACCAGTTAACATCGAGAAATGTGTGAGTCTCAACAAAACAGAAACCTTCCCCATCTTTCAGTTTTAATTTCCTGTTTTTATCTCTGCGGTTTTTAAGCTGAGAAAGATCACCCAAACCTTTCCTCTTCCTTGTAGATTATGCCGAGCGTTTAAAACAAGACTATTGTTAAAAGGGATTCAAATTATATTGATGAGTTTGTGTTTATTTATTGCCATCTGTGGTTTGAGAAATAAAAATGGCGTTGTACATGTTTGGTTAACGTTATGCATCATAATACATATAAAACATGCAACATCCAATGGTCTCATCTGCATTTCGCCTGTCAAGTTTGGCAGGCTTCCGGGAAAATTTTCCATTTTAAATTGAAGCGCTGAAGCAAGAAAAAAAATGTTTTTACCTTTTTTCCTATTGGTGTGGAAGGTCACTCCTTTAGCATTGTGCAATATCAGTCTCAGGCGTTATTTTCCAAAGTTCCGTAATACTTTCGATACCAAGTTTCGTGACATGACAAGCTGAATGGAATATAAAAGACCTAAGCGCGTGCATTACTGACAAAACCTGATTTTGCATGGACGGTTTCACCATGGTAGTTAGTGCCGTGATAGAGTTGCTCGGACAAATGGCATTTTCTTTCACAAGGAGCGTCATGGAACATTACAACCCTGAAGAACCCGAATTCACTGCTGAATCGTTTGGATTTGATTATTTAGAAGACTCACGTCGACAGTGGTATTCTTATCCAGTCGATGAATTTATTTATCAGGAGTACGACGACAGAAAAGGCATAAACACAAGCTATCTGGCAGCTAGGAGTATCAATGTAACGGTTGTAAACGCTTTTTGTACCAAGGAAGAGGAAACACCCAAATCGATTGGCAATCAGCAAGAAGACAGGGCTATGGCGTGGAAGCGATTAAGACCATCTTTCCTTCACACCATATCCAAGTCGCTGTACATTGGAGCTCTCATTTCGCTCCTCGCTGCCACCATCTTAGGTGCAGAATATCTGCTCCTTTCATATGTTTCTTATAAAACATTCGCACATTGTAAATACTTCCCAAAGAAATTAATTCCACACAGTGTACAATGGACCATAACAGAATGTGACGTCATCGCCTGTGGCATCTTTTATGTCTGTAGCTTTTGTCATACGATATTACTTTTCCTGCAACACCAGATACAAGGATTGAAAACCAACTTGGTCCTGATATGTTGTCTTTTTTACTGTTTTGACGCACTTTATCGCGTTATTTTACAAGTCATAGGAAGACCTTTCTTCTTGGAGTCCTCTGTATATAAAGTTCCTATGTACGTGTTGTATACAGCCAGTTATTGCCTCCAGTTGTGTTATCTTGCGAGGAAATTTGGCATGCGTTCAAGACCAAGAGAAGCCAGTTTGATATGTAAGCTGGTCACACCATTAATTTTCGCGTTTACTGTCGCCTCAGCTGCTGTATATTTTATTTACCCCGCTTATAAATGGCAACATAAAAGTGGTCATGGTAGGTTGTTAATCGCCATATTCTCCCCTCTCATTGGTGTGACTGCTAAAGTCATTTCACGTATATGTGTTCAGCGGTTATGGAACATTACACATCCGGGATATTCATATATCTTGCTTGCGCCGTTGTACTTTAGTACAGCGGTTATTTTTCGAGTCTTACAAGCGGAACTGGGCAGTTTGCTGTATATTGCTGCTCTGGGAATTATCCATGGCATAACAGAAGTCGTGGAACGAAGTGTAATGGTAGCAGTTGATCATTGTTGTCACCAATTGTGGAGAAGAGAGTCAGCTTCTTGGGGAAGTTTTCGTACTCCTCGTCGCGAAAGACTAATGGCCGACATCGCCATCATGAGCATGATGTTTGAATCAACTGCTATAGTTTCTGTCAACGGCTTTTTATTCTTTTATCAATATTTTTACCTAGAAAACGATTCCCTTTTAACCTTGCTCCGATCTTTTTCCATTACTGTGTTAGTTCAGATGGTGATTGAATGGTTCTTCACGAGTGCATCTCTGGCGATCGAAACTCGTTATCAGAATTTGCCAGTAATGGCTGTATGGCAAAGGCGGTGGAAGCGATTCGTTTTGGTAGCATCTGTGACTACGATACCAATAGCTATGTGGACGAGCGGAAACTTATTGATGGTTATAGATGAGAATTTTGAAGCCCCTTCAATCGCGAATCGGTCTTGCAAAATGCCTTTCACTTGACAAAACAGCAACCATAATTAGACTTCTACATTCACATGAACACCTAATGAACACCTTGACGGACTAAGGCGGTGTCATTAAGGGCCAATTATCATTTTACTGCAGGCTTTTTCGGTTGTTGGAGGGAATGTTGGGCTGGCAAATGGCCTACGTAATTCCTGCTGTCATTCAACATTTTCAGTCCCCTCAAGTAAGTTTTAATTTATGCAATCAACTATTTCTCTTTGAAAAAACCCCAAGCTTATTTTTTAAGAAATTTCTCTATTGAAATTAACAAACTAGAGCTGTTGTTATTTTAAACGGGAAAAGAGGTTTAAGAGAATTCTCGCCCTGAAAGTGCGTCATGTAATTTTCTCATCACTCCCGGTCTTACTCTGTAAACAGATTGCATTTGTTTGTAGAATAAAAGGAAAAGTGACAAAGTCCTGTCACGTAACTGTCACATCATGCAAAAGATTACGAAAGCATTCCGAATTGGGGAAAAAAACTATTCTTTGCGCATACAGATCGGTCTAAACCGTGACCAAATGATTTAGAAAGATTACAGCCCGAGAGCATGCAATGGAAACTGAACGACGGACTGTGCTAAACGGGTAAATGAACTGACTTTGTGACAAACGACGGAATCATTTTTAAACGTAACCTAGCTGTTCACAAAAAAGAAACATTGCTTCAAAACAAATCCCGCTAAAGCAAATTGTGTTTTCAAGGAAAAACTCATCTCGCGCGACGAAGAATCTGGTTTGTTTATCAACGGAGAAAGAACACAACTTTTACCACTTTTTGCTGAGGCCACGAGCAATCGTATTAGTGAAAAATGGAATGAGTTAACTGACGAAAGAGTGATTGTGTTAAAATTTTACCGGGAAGAAGGAGAAAGTGGAACATTAAATGAAGAGAGGGAGGCCAATTGGTGGACGAAAAGTGCGGTGAGGAGATTAAAGAGCTCCGTCACAACTCCCGACAGGCCGACAAATCAAGTGCCGTCTGAAGACAGTGCCCGAATGAAGGGAAAAGAAACCGAACAGAAGATACCGAACCAGTCAGTATTCCGCAACACACTCAACGTCTCTAATATTGATACTACTCTCACTTAGCAGGCTAGAGTTGTTCTTGCTTACTATCTGGCTAGATATTCGAAGCGCATAATAATATGCTTAATTTTAGTCATTAATGTTTTGAAATTAACTAATTAAGCTTGAGAGCCACCTCATTTGTCGGTGAACAGAAGGTTGATTACTTCCTATCCGCCTGTATCTGCCTTGCAAACTCTTCAGTTTATATTGGCCAATTACAAGAGCTTCGAAAGGAGCGTCTTGAGTTCAAAGCAAGGGAGGGTAATACATAATTTGTGCATTTTTCAATTTTCTTTTATCGCAATTGAATTTTTTCTAGGTAATAAAGAATGAGAGGAAAATATTTCACATTTAGAACTAACTGGGCTGTTGGAATCTGGCCAAGATTAATTTTATTCCATTCAAACAACAACATCATTATCTTAATGTGTTATTCGAGGTTTCCTGAAGAAACATTTGAAAATATATTGACCGTCGATATTAAAAAACCAGCCGTATTAGCTAAAATAAGAACAATTTTAAATTTTTCATAGAATTTCACACACATAACGTGACTAAGAAATATCTTTATCATTTCGAGTCAGTTAATTAAGAATTTTCATCTGCTTTTAATCTTAATTTTCCGTGTAAAGCAGGTAAACCAGTACTGGGCGAATAACGATGCCGAGGCGTTCTAGCGCAAAGGACAATATTGAGATCAATATCAGTATCTGGGCAACTGCCCACCTACTCCTCCCCTAACTCAACAACAGTCAATTGACAACAAGTTAAGTTTAATTTTGGTTTAGGGGAGGGGTAGGTGGGCAGTTGCCCAGATACTAATATTGATCCCAATATTGACCTTATAATCTACTTTCCCGCCCACACTCTCATTTTTTTTTAGTTACTGCCTCGCCTTTACCAAATTGTCATAAGCACTTGGTTATAACGAACAACACTAACTGTTGGGTTAAGTTCGTGTTTCCTTCGCTCAGTGTCGTGTAACGTTTTCAGAGGCTATGAATGTCACTGCTAATCATCCAGCGTTTAATGTCTCGTATGAAGAATGTTCTCTCTCAGTTGCTCATGGTATCACCCTGATATCAATCAATTCTATCTTGTGTGTTTTGGGAACATTTGGTAACATACTGGTTTGCGTGGCAGTTTCCATAAATCTTCGTCTTCGCCGACCGTCAAACTTCCTTCTCTTCAGCTTAGCCATCGCCGATTTGATCGTCACCATGGTTTGTGAGCCTCTTGTTGTAGCCATCCTCGCTAAGATCACGTTCGTCAAGGACTGTGCAGCCAACTTGGAACTACTGTACAAGATAACATCCAGAGTGTCCTGCGCTGCTTCAGTGGTGCACCTGGCAGCGATCAGTGTGGATCGTCTGTTAGCCGTAATGTATCCTCTCGGTCATGAGATCATGATGCAGAAGTACGGGCTGAAGATTATGATCATCGCTTGTTGGACCTTCTCCTTGGCGGTTCCTGTTATTAGCGCTGTTGTTCCAGATTCCTTCCCAAAAGCTTTTCTTGGAGCAGGGACCTTCGCCGCGAGTTACATCATCATTATAGTGTCCTATTCGCTGATCATGATATTTTTGATCAGATTAAAGAAGAAAAGACGCCAGAATAAAGGTCAAACACCGTCCGTACACGTCACTTCTCGAGTTGAGGCGCGTGTGGCCTGCACGCTGGCGATAGTAATCGCTGTTTTCACTGCTTGCTGGTTTCCACTGGTTATCACCTTGTTCGTGGCAGGTAAGCCGCTTGTCCAGCCCCAGGGAGTGGCTCACATGTGGATCAGGACTCTTGCTCTGTCAAATTCTGCCATGAACTTTGCAATCTACACTTTCAGAATCCGAGACTTCTACGAGGCGTATGGCTTGATCTGTCGGAAAATCTGCAGTTTTTTTCTCTGCAGGACTCAAGCATCGCTAAATTTGCCTCAGTGATTGTTTTTATTAGTGAGCTGTTGGTCAAATTCAGTCAACATAATATCAAATTGAGATGCACGGTGCTATTTCGCTTAAGCATACTATAACAGCTTGAAATATTTGCCAAGGACTCTCTGAGTTTTCAGGAAATGACGTCGCAATCAAAAAGGCGGAAAGTGGGCACCTCAACAGCTAGTGCCTAATTGTGGAGATAACCAAAATTGGCTATTTCCTCAATTCAATATATGAACTGAAGGATCTCAAAGGCTTACAAGGGTTACTCGAGAAATAGATGAATGAATTGATTAATCACTTGATTCACTGGTGCTAAACAAATTGTAAGACCTAGATCCTATCATCTGTTGTCATTATGGGTAAAGATGAAGTCATGGCTTTGATTAAACTATTCTGAATTAAGCTATTCTAGGCCAATTTGATTCTGTCGCTTTCATTGAGACAGTTGATTGGCATGGATCTATGTGCTAGACCAAGATAAATGTTGAGTAATAAGAGAAAATGATTAACTTGTGAGGGTAAGGGAACACAACAGATGATAAAGAAAATATTTAAAAGTACAGATGAACATATGGATCGCTTGCATCCACTTTTACTTTTATTACATTTCCTTTTAAAGCGCTATATCAAAATTTGAAAAACATGAGAGATGGAGGAGGCTGATTATATAACTAGTAATTTATTAGAAGAGGCTCTCCGCTGACAGGGTCAAGATGTGAAGAAGAGGCTCTCTGTTGGTTGACGGAGATGTCAGACCTGGGATGACGTCAGTGAATTGTATTACGGACAGTAAGAATTAAACTTTTCTTTCATGTTTGTATCCTCAATATTCACTCCTACGCTGTACAAAAGCTAAATTTGTGAATTAATTTACCAATTTTATCATAATTTCCTTTCACTTGACAATGAAAGGTGCTCAAAGAGAATTTTTTGTTAACGCACGGATTCGCGGTTTTCTTGCGTCCGCGTTGTCGTAACTCTCGCGATTCAGCGAACTGCTAGAAAGCACTGAACGGCTGAATTATAATATCTTAGTTACATGTGTATAGTTTGCATTCAGTGTTCTGTTTTCTTCATGAACCCCGTTTACTCTACTTTCAGTTCGAATAAATCGCAAAGATCAGAAATTGCACTAAGTCGACCTCAAAGGAAACCTTATTTGAAGCATAAATAAACAGAATTTACAATTCTCATGTTCAAGCACATGCACTATTTTTCGATGTTCATTTCTGTAGTTGATCTGATTACCGCACACATTCTCCAATCTTTCCGTCAAAAAGCACTCATTTCGATAAACTTGCGCCGGCTCGACAAATTGAGGACTTAAAAAAACACGAAATACACCAAGTGAAGGACCTAAAGAGTTAGTAGTTCGCTATGATAATACATGCGACACTAGCAAAGTCACCAAATGTCCCGAGGCGCTGTGTTATTGTCATTTAGTAGTTCTCTGTTTTTGTTCCTTGGGTATCGGTAACCTGTACGAACACCCAAGCGATGGTATATCGACAGGTTTAAGTAATTTCTTTCCTCCCTTCGGCAAACTGTCCAAATCCACGTTGAATTTTTCCGCGGCTTTGAAATTAAAACCAGTCTGGAATTTTGGAGTGTCATGTCTATCAATATTATCCTTTCGTTTTATCCAGTTGTGACTCTGTCTCCAACATTTTGAGCTCTCTATCTGCGGTAGTCGGCCTTGTTTGAGGCCGTGAAAGCGGTTGTGATATTGAGCTATTTCGTAGCGTTGGTTTATCCCAAGGTTATTGCTCAATTGGCGAATTCGTTTAAGTTCGTCGTCCAACAAAATAACAATATCTGTATTGCTGTGATCTGACAGCGAACCTTGTAGGAAAGGAGAATGTAAGCCGCGTTCGGACGAAACCACACTACTTTTGTCGTTTGGCAATGGTGGTAGTCTGTTCTTGAACGACAGAAGAGGTTTGCTAAATTTCTTAGAATTATGGCCTTTGTTGTCGAAGCCGTTGTAACCATTTTTGATGACAATATCCGCCATTGTGTTTTGCTTCTTTAGAAATCCCTATAATACAAAAGGAACAATTGTATTTGCTCCATTTGAATTCACGCGACCGCGAGACCTTAGTAACCTCAAACTTTCGTTGAACTTGAAGTTTACTATTCAAAGTGTATCAAACCTGAGAAGGCAACCTCAAAATAAACTCCGTACTAATCCGATAAAATTCTTTTAAGGACAAATGGTTGCCTAGCTGCCGCGTTAACAGAAGGTCGAAATAATTATTAACTGCTAGCTTCGTTTGCATAAGACAAAATCACTTTGTAAACATAATTAACTCGTGAGATTTCACTGGCCGACACGACGTGCTTTTAAAACGGAGGAGAAACCACATTGCTTGTCCATTTACTTCCCTCTTTCGTTGGAAATCTGAAAACAAATAGAATGATTATTACTTGTGTCGCCGTACGACAACTTCATGCCCGTACGGTAACGCAACTCTAACCTCTCTCTAATGGAAAACAAAAGAGAGTACGGTTAAGTTATCTTGTATTTCTAAACAACCAAACACCAAATCTAGTTAAAAGAATAGTCAAAGAACGAGTGGTTATTTTTCAAGTATGAATGTACTTGTCCAACTCTTCTGAAAAGGAAGCCGTCAAATCGAGTTAGGGGGTGGGGGGGAGG